TTCTCTTACTACGCTATTATGGTGTTCTTTATTCATTATTTTGTTAACGTTGTGCTATTGCCTTGTATTTTTATTTTATTCTATTATTTTTTTATTCTATTACTGAATATATGAAGTTTTTTAAATAAAGGTTGTAGAGCTGGGTGTGAAACACTGGCTGTGGGGCCAGAGGGGACATTAAAGCCCCTGGGGCTGGATCCACACCCAAACTGATGTGGAACAATGGAAGTGCTGTGGCTGGTCCTGGATGAATCCCGTGGGGAAGGGGACGGAGCTGCAGCCCAGGGGCTACAGGAGCTGCCAGGAGGGTCTCAGCCCCCCATGCAGTGGTACCAGGCACAGGCTGGGAGCGGAGGTCTCAGAACCAGCCCAAGGGCACCTTTTGGAATGGGGAACCAGGGGCTGCTCCCAGCCGCTGCTGCCGGCTGGGGAGGGGCTGTGGGCAGGTGGGGGGCATGGGACCCATGGGGAGGGGGAAGGTGTGTGTTGGGGGTCAGGCCTCATGTGCCACCAAATTTGGGACCCCATTGGAACAATTATGATAGCTGCTAGAGATATTTAAGTGATGACAGTGACTGATTTGTGGCCTTTTCAACAGCCTTGGGCTGCACTGAGACCCAGGAGCAGCTTTTAGCTGGAGCCAGTGGGAAGCTGAGGAGCTGGAGCTGAGGCAGCAGAGCTGGAGGACACACAGAGGTGGGACTGGCATTAAAACCAGTGTGGGACTGGGGGTGGGATAAGGACTGTAGAACTGGAGTTGCAATATGGATTCTAGAAAAGATCCAGGAGCAACTTCACCTGGCAGCAGAGGGAAGATCCAGAGCTGAAGCTGAGACAGCACAGCTGGCAGAGATATGAAGATTATGGGGCTGGAGATGAAATCACTGTGTGGATGGATAGGGCTTCAGGGGCTGGGATACGGAGTATAGCTGGAATCCTTGTGGGGCAGGGATACCAACTCTAGGGACGGAGCTGAAATAACTGTAGACCTCGAGACAAAATGAGGATCATGCTGTGAGAACCAGGAAAAGTTTCACCTGACAGTGGTGGGAAGATGTAAAGCTGGAGGGGAGAGGGCAGAGCTGGGAGAAAATAAAGCCTATGGAGCAGGAGCTAAAATCACTGCGACACTGAGATGATGACTCTATGGAGAAGCAAAAACAGAGATTTGGGTTGTATTAGAGAGTATTGTATTCTTACGGGTCCAAGCCTCTTCTAGATAGGCAAGAGCGGCGCTGTGGGGCTGGGGGGTGCCTACGGCAATACCACCCTGAGAACGCCCGATCTCGTCTGATCTCGGAAGCTAAGCAGGGTCGGGCCCGGTTAGTACTTGGATGGGAGACCGCCTGGGAATACCGGGTGCTGTAGGCTTTTGCCCCGTGCCTTGTTTTGCCG